CTTTCCCTTGCAGATCCGGGTCATAGAAACTGCAACTTCTGCAACCGCATCATTAATCAGTTCCCCATCAGGTCAGTTGCACAAAGGCTCATTAAATATTTACAGGTGACATTTTTCTGACTTGTGACAACGAGGATCAAGATAACCATCTGTTTTCTACAGCCATGCTGTTCAAATACATTTGAAAAGTCAACCAGTAAGAAAAGAACAAATAGCAACGGAGCCTACAAGATAACAATTGCTGTTTTGAGCAGCTACAACTGAAAGAAATCTTGCCCCTTGAAAGCCACATTAAATGGCCAGTTAGAGAAAGTTTCAACAAATGTAGCACCTCTTTATTAAAGGGCAGAGGGCACAAACTTCAGCCCTACCAACACAAAGAATGACCAAGCAATCAATTTCTAATCACAGTAGTTTCTGAAGATCATTCTAATATGGCAAAGTAAGGTAAAGGGCTGATTATTTAACTGGGACATAGAGCAACAAGCAGAAGAAAAATCTCACGCTAACACACATTTCCCACAAGAGGATGTCTCTGTAGAAACCTTGTGAAAGCTCATTTATGTGTCATGTGCTACCACATTACTTGCACTACCCAGTACCTGATAATGCACTGACAAATTTCTCATGTAAATGAGATCTAAGTCACACTGCTGTGTGGAGCAGCTCACCATTGCCAAGCTCAAACAGCCACCAAGTCTTAGTTTGTACATGCAGATATGCTCAACCACTTGGTAAAAAGGCTTCTGTCACAGAAATTACAGAATTAAAAATAGAAAGCGTGCTTGAGAATAGTGAAGTTTTCTTCCAACAGTCCTGGCATTATGTTCCTCTTCTGACATGAATAATTGTGAAAGAAGTGGGATTGCCAGTACTGGAAAGAGCCTACTACTAAACCCACATAGTTGGTACACTGGCAGAAACACGAGTTCCCTTCACCCAACTGTCCCTATCTCTTGCACCCAAGGCCTTCTCAAAGCACTAATTCAGCTTTCTTGCTTTTGCAATCCATGGCCTCTCTGCATGGGCTTTTATCAGGCTTCCATGGGCACTGCTGGTCTTCAAAGCACAGTTGGGCAGGGCTCAAACATCTACCCCTGCCTGCAGGGCACTGTGCAGTCACCAGGATGCAAAGTCGCTTTGCTAGGTTAGAACCCAAGCCAGGGACCCACTGTTAAAAAGCTCTAGTAGCTCTGAAGCAGTCCAAGCCCTCAGTTATTCTTAATTCACCCTGTTGCTCTGTCTGGAGAAATTATGATTCATGACTTAGAAGCAGAAGCTTCAGCCAAAGAAATAAAGTTCTACTTCACTGAAATAGCCCTCTCGCTACCCTCTACATCATGTGGGGTTGGGGAAATTGTGTTTGTGTTCCCTGATACAGGTCACACTTAAATGTTCTTTGTGTGACATCAGCACAATGCCCGTGGTGTCTTCCTCAAACCAGCACACTGCAGCTGTGGAAACAAACACAGGAGAAGGGCATTTCCTATACCTTACACCAGACAGAGAAATAACTGAGCAGCCCCAAGATGCATTGCAAACCAGAATAGCTCTGTCTCAGGTCTGTTAAGAAATGCTCCAATAACTTGGATAAAATGCTCTGTCATTTTAAAAAGCACTAATCTCTAGCTTTTCTCTTCCACTCTACCCCCATAAATACATACATTCCTTGTAAAGGGAAAACACTTCTACATGTTCTGGTTGATGCAAGCAGAGTTTGCCTAATCCAGTTTCCATGAGAGGTTAACACTGAAAGGCAAAAGTTGAACGCTGTCTACCAAGGGGCAGCATGGAAATAATACTCAGTGCCTAGCTGTAAACAAAGTAACACTGTATTTAACTCGCTAAATACTGCTTCCATTTTGTAACATTTCCTCACAGCACAAGTACCTAGCCATAAAAAAAACCCCAATCCAGAAGCTGTAGGAATGCTGATTTAACACCTTATTTTCTCAGAACCAAAATTACTTAGTTGTAGATTAACTTTGCCCCATAGCAACAAAGCAGACATAAGAATTGAATGCACAACATACCTCTGCCACTGGTTATTTTTGCTGCAATTATGAATACTGCTAATGCAGAATCCTTTGTGAAAATCTACTCTAATGCACAATTGTGATGAATGCTCAAGATACCGTATTGCTTTTCAAACAGTATGTTCTCGAAGTAGGCATATGTGGTCTTTGTAGTAGGTCAATCTTCAAAAGTGCAACAGCAACTTTAAATAGAACAACCAGAAAAACAAGAAAAGTTGAAGTTCTTGAACAAATATTTTCTTTGTTGCCACCTAATCCTACGCCTTGTGCTAGCTCAGCCCTGTCTCCATCCTGAGCCAGCGGAAGAGATTAGCATGAGCCAGGAGTCCTGGCAGCTCTGGCCACTCCATGTGCAGTGGTGAAGGGAATCACCACTGTCACCTCCACTGGGAGTTCAGGGTAGAAAGCCAGTTCCCAAGCTCCAAAGCAGACACTCTCATAAGCTGGGTTGAGCTCCACCACCACAGCAGAGTTCAGAAAAAAGAGGTAACCACTAAACAGAGGCTTAGCACATTCACCCGAGGCCTCTTAGATACGAAGAAAGCTGAAGACAAAGCCCAGCTTTCAGCTAAGAGGAAACGTGTATGAACCAAACACAAACTGGATCACTACTACAGAAGTGCACCAGCACAACCTCTCCCAGCACTACAACAGCCTCAGACTGAACAAGTAGCTAAGGAAATTAAAGCCAGAACTTCCTGTTTAAAAAGATACCACAATCTCCTGTGGTTAACAACCTATTTAATTAGCTAAGCATTTCTAGTACATGTAACACCTAGGTATGCCTAGGAGATAGTCAAAACATTAGTGTCAACAAGAAATAAACATTGGACTGAAAAAGCTTCAGTTCTTGGTAGTATTTATGAATGCTCAGAGGGAAGCATAAAAAGAATCTTTTAAGGGGAAGAGCTGCAAAAACTGTAAATCAGCATACTCTACACTGAGCTCAAAGAGATACAAAATCTCACCAGCTTTGAAGACACAGAATTGCCACTTCTAACATTCCCCTTTCCCTGTTCATGTCACACTGTATTAACAGTGGGAGTGTCACCACCTCTCCACCCGATAAGAATAAAACTACCTGTTCAGTTGTGCAATTTTTCACTAACATTACTAACAATTCTCAGTCTCACAAAAAAAACCCCTAAATTAAGGCAAAATAAACACCACTCTCACTTTGAGAATCCTGGACCAAGAATGTTTTTCCACATGCGATTGCAGGCCCTCTAGCAAGGAACAGCCAAGGCAGCCTCCAGCTCCTCCTGATGGCAAACAGTAGCCATGGCACCCCACAAGGTTCTAAGAATGTTTCCGTCATTTTGAAGAGTCACCATGTCAAACGCGTTAAGACCTAAGCATGTGACCAAAACAGGGTTTAGGTGAAAGGCTATACCTGATTTGATCAAATGTGATGATCAGTGGAGGGGCAGACGCAAATGCACAGAAAGCCTACTCTGGGTCTGTCAGAGGAACTTTAAGCCAAGCACCAGCAAAGGCTGATGGCTCTGCTTGAAACTTACTGTCGATTGACTTAGCTAAAAAAAACAGGATGACACCTCTAGAACAGAGGAAGGATGTTAACAGTGAGAAATGATTAGGCTGTCACGCTCCACACAACAGAATAGGGATGGTTCAGGCAGCCAAGGTTTGAAAATGGCTGAAGATGCAACAGATTTCCTTCCTATATCTATCCACTCAAGAATTAATACAGCTGCCCAGGTTCACTTGTCTCTTAAAAAAAGAACAAAAAAGAAATAAATCCAGTTGATGATGGAGAGAAAGCACACAGACATACCCTATAGGTATCAAACATTTTATTTATTTTTAAAGAAACTACAGCAATACACATGATTACAGAATTATGAAGCACTGTAAAACAAAAGGAATGAAGTGGCCTGGGTCCAAGCACTAATGACCTCACACCTTTTCTTTCATACCACCATCACTCAGAAAAATTACATTATCTGAAAAGAAATAAAGAAAATTTAATCTTCAGGATTGTTTTGCTCTCTTGCAAGCCTATCCACCCACAAAATGTGTGTTAAAATAAGCTCTAAAGCAGTGTATTTCAGAACCGAACAGTTAGCAAAATAAAACATTGTCCAATTCAAGGTTCTTGCTCTATCTCCCCAGAAAGCTGACAATTCAAGGCAAACATTTATACTATGAAACAAGTGTGCTAAGTCTGATGAAAAGCTGCTAAACAGTCAAAGGTACCAGAAACACTTAATAGTTTAATTATTTGACTATCATCTCTATCAGTTAGTTTATTTTCATTCTAATTTTTCATTTTCAGTATGCACTACCACATCAGCCTATAGGATGACGGGAAGCTTGTATTTCATCAAGTCTCAGTAATGTCTAAAGCATCTTGAGGTTGGGCATATTGAACAAAAATAAAGAATTTAAAAAAGAGACTCACTTTTCCACTTCCACTGTTTATGAACAACCTGCAGCACCTGCTAGCAGAACTGCTCATGTGAAAGTTTGATTACTGTTGTTTTAAAGAGGCCACACAGTAGAAACATCAAGAATTGTGGTTGTGGGGCTTTTTTTTTTGTTCTCCTCTGGCCCATTTTTTATGGATATACTTGTGCAAGAGAAATGTTTGCGCTACTACCCAATTACTTTAGCCTTCCCTCAAAGGCCCCAAGATAGTGGCTCTATACACAGTAAAGATGTAGTATGGTCATGCTATTTAAAGACTCAAGGAGAAAGCTGAGTATCCCAGTTTTCCTCTTCACAGAGTCTACTCAAGGGACAAATGTACTTCCTGTCCATTCTGTGCTCTTCTTACCGCTACTGGCTACCACACTGAGGTCCTTCTAAGCTCTCCAACAAGCTATGACCACCAAAAAAAAATCTCTCTCAGAGACCCTACAATTTGGTAAAGCCTCCAGTCTTAAACAGGAAGAAAAAACTCCCTGCTAAACCAAGACAAGCCTACTAAACAAACTCTGTTTCACTTAGAAAAAGAATCTGCCTGACCTGCAGTACTACATACCAGTGTTTTTAAAACACACAGTACCTACCTGCTGCACCAACTGGTTTGTGTAAGCAAACAATGCAATCGTTTTCAACTATGGGCTCTCATTTCCTGTGTCTTCACAAGTAGTGCCAGAGAACATGCAGTGTTACAGTCTGTTCATTCTCTCAAAATCCCCAAGTGTGGATTCCAAGGGTGAAGACAAACCAAGCTCTATTTCAAAAGGTCCTCCATCCCTCTCTCCACTTTAAAAGGGGAAGGCATTGCCAAGTTGTTCCTTACCTGCAATAATTGTCGTGGCCTGCCGCCTGACGTTGTTTTTATCTGTATATTCACCATAATCTATCTTCCCTTCAACAAAGATTCGAGAACTGGAAAAAAACCCACAAGAATTTTGTTCTGATCAAAGAACTGTACATCTGTTGTCTCCTCTACATCTCTTTCTGAATACACAGGCTTTTGCCTCATTTGTTTGTAGCAAGCCTGCTAACATATTGTAAGGCACTTCCTAGTATAGCTCCTAGTCATCCTATTAAATCAATTGTTAAGGCATTAAATCCTCAACCACATTTGTGATTCACTTACCCCTTCTTCACATACTGGTAAGTAACATCCCTGAGGCCAGGTCTGAAGACGGAGATCCTGTGCCATGTTGTCTTCTGACTGATATCACCTAAGTCACATAAAAACAATAAAGTTGGATGTCAAATCCTTTTTTTGATGCAAGACTCACAAATTAGTTTTGACATGTTGGTGTTTTCAAACTAAGAAAAGCAATGTGAAGATGCACTTGATCTCCCACACCATACTAGAACTCCATGTTCCACTCATCTATGTCCAAAAGTATCCTGCAGAAGCCCAATTCAAACCAAAAGATCAGTCTTCCTGGAAGCCAGTGCTCATACTAGAAGAATTTTTCTTTCCCCCCCTCACACAGAGCTTAAGTTATAGAAAAAAAAAATCACCTGTGGCTACAAACTGATGGAAGAATCAAATACAAAATGAATCTTATTTTTTTTCATCCTTTTGGAACACAATTAAGAATATGGAACCAGCTACACCTCTGGCAACCCCAGTGAAAAACTGACAGCACACTTCTCTCTTCTCCAGAAAAAGGTCAACATGCACATCTTCACGCAGGACATGCTGCTCGGGATTAGTAAGAAACACACAAATGAACCAGCATCTCTAGTGACATCACAGAAACTTCCCTCCACCTGAGAGATTTACACAGCAGCCTGAAGACAAAACGTGGCGCTACTGAATATGCAAGCATGACCCTGGGACATGGCAGAAGCAGGTTGTTTCTCACAGACTCACCTCCTGGGGTTACCTCACTTTCCCCTGTTCGCCACATCTCATTGGTTGCAAGAGAAAATATGGTAACAGGATTTTTTCCTTCTACTTGTCTCATGATAGGGTCCTGCCCAACCCGACCAAGTAACTGAACACGATTCATGGCTGAAACACAAGACAGCAAAGATAAATGCAGGTGAATGATGAGGCTTCTGATCATGGCAAGTCATAAGTTGGCAGCTTTTGTTAAGGGCCAGAACCATGATTTTCTGCACCTCAGCCTTTTTTCTAGCTCTTGGGACTTTTTGCCTTATTCAGGCCCTGCAGATGGCTGTGCCTGTATTATCATTACTACTGCTGAACAAGCTCATCTAGAAAACTAAAAATTCCTTATTCTCTGTTCCTTTGTCATCTTTTTCACAGGCACAACCATACTTCGCTGGAGTCTATTTTGCATTTGTTTGACTTAGTTTTTTTTAGTTATGATACAGAGCATTCTGTTGTTTTGCCACTAAAATGATACCTTTAAAACAACAAAGTTGCATTACTGCAGCCTGTACTTTGAACTAGAGGGTCAGAAGTTTCTACATAGGTACCAGGACTAGTGGACACAATGTATTCCTTTTCCTTGTTAAAGGACAACTCAAGGAGGTCAGGGGAGGATCACTCTTGCACAATGAGCAGGTGAACTGAATGGTACAGTTTGAAGCATAAACCTGGAGCCAATCACATTGGAGCAACAGCACCCAAACAAGTCCCCCAGGAGTCTGAGAAACAAGCCCATGAGACACCCAAAGGCAGGTATTAGAAAACATGATTATAGCTTACCTGATTTTCACTGCCACTGACACAGCAATGAGTACCTGCCTTTTACAGGTCATACTCCATGTCAGGGCTTTTCCCTTTTCCCCTTTAAGGGCTCCTTGAATTGATGAAGGCCATTTTCAGGAAGGCTACTTAAGAGTAGCTCATGTTCTTAGTTCCTGCATTCAGGAGCTACCACTCCTAACTGTTTCTCTCCTGGCGTATTTCAACTATTCTAAAACATAGATAAGAAAACATGGACAGTAACAACTACATTCAATCTGAGGAGCTACTTACATCTTTCAAGTACCAAGGAGCCAACTGTATCAGACTCATGTCTTACAAACTGGCGAAGCACCTGAAGGAACAGACAGGTAAGTTAGTTTCCAAGACACAAAGTTCACATACGAGCAGTGTTCATATGCCTTTATTGCTCATTTTCCAAACAACTACGTAGGCTTTGCAAGTACAAATTGCCTGGGAAGAAGCATGGCCTGAAGGTACACCTCCAGCAATTATTTTTGGGACATGCAGTAACTGCTGTTTTTCTGGTTGGGCTTTGGCTTTTGAAAACACAGTTTTGATAGTGTCAACTTTCTGCCTAACTTCAAAACTTCAGAAGATGTCCTCCAAAGGTGCATCTGTCCACTGCCATAAGCAGTGTGATGCATTGACAAGGCCATGTTCCCATACAGAGAGCAAATCAAGGCCACAAAAATTTGAGTCTGTGGCTAAACACAAGCAAGAAAAGGAACTGGCTTGATACTGGGCAATACTATGTCCTAGAAGAAAGGAGAATTAAAAAACACCTCTGCAAGAGGCCCATATGCAGGAACTGGCAGAAAAACTCATCTCCTACAACAAGTGGTTGCAAAACTTGAAGGAATGCGAGGCTGACAGCGTTGTGCTGAACAGGAGGGCTAAACAAAAGGAAAAGCAACTTGCAAGACAAAAGTTAATTGTTTTATGTCTGTACGGTTCACTAACAGACACACAAATCGCCTGAGGCGCGTTCCACGCGCAAGTAAGATTTTTTTTTTTTTTTTAAATCCTTTTTGTTTGCTTCGGTGCAGCGGTGACGGCACCGCAGCGGGGCCGGCGGGTGAGGCAGAAGCCGCCGGGAGGCCGCTCAGCCC